TATATATATATATATATATATTAATTGTAATTGTTCTTCCTACTTTAATTCTTCCTCTACCTCTAGTTCTCGGATGGGAGCCAACTAACAAATTGGTGGATTTTTTGCTTTTTATCTCTATGTATCTTTGCTTCTTTCGGTTTTTGTGTTTGTTGTATTGTGTGAGTTGGGCCTTTTTTTAGGTCATCTCATACAACTTATCTATACCTTTTCTTCTTTAATATATTAGCCTTTGGGTTTATATATATATATAATTTTTTTTTAAAAAAGCCCAATGACTAATGTATTAAACAGAAAGTAGGATACAGATAGATTGTGTGGGAGAATTCAAACATGACACCCTGCATAAAGTGTGTCAAAATACTGAGTATCAGGTAGCTAAAGAGCAACCTAATTTTGTCTTGCCTCTGCCTCTAATTTTATGGAAGGAGCCAGCTAATAAATTGGTAAGATGAGTGTCATTGTCAGTAGTAACCAATGTATCATCCAATAAGTTTCTGAACTGAAGTCGTCCTCCATTCTTCTTCTTTCTCCTGGAATAGACCTGTCATTCCTCATCTGAAGATTGACTCACCTGATCAGTGGATTGATCTAAAGTGTGTCGGACATGTGTAGGTTGTTGAACATTAGAAGCAACTACTTATTGTACCAGCTGATCTTTTATCGGATCGAAGGAGCACTCTCGTGTGTCTTGGCATGTAAGTGGACATTCTTTAATAATAGTGAGTGGTATAAGCACATTTGAATCTGTACCTATAGTACGGTGTTCTTCATCAGGAACTGCGGTGTTGGAAAGAGGATCAGGTTGCACCTTGATAGGTGGCTGATCTTTAGCGATATCCGACCTTATATGAGGATGCAAGTGATAGCAAATAGTAGAACTGTTGCCAAACATACTACAATCAGAGCAATAAGGAGGGTGTGGTTCTATTTCAACCTTTTGGCAATACCCGTTATGAGTGGTTCCAATCCATATCTCATCCGCAACCGGTTGAGTGATATCTCTCTCAACTAACACACACGCCACAGAGGGTCTAGTGACAGCAAGCGTAGAACTATCCACCTTAAGAGGCTTACCGTAAGCAGCTGCTAATGAGTAGAGAATTTCCAAGTTGAACAAATGTAATTTTAACCCTAGAAAATTTATCCAAACAGGAATGATAGGGACCCCGTTTTTGGATCAAAATCGACAGTCCACTTCAGAATTTCAAAGTTCATAAAACGGTTGTCCATCTTGATAACTTTTCGAGAAAAAATCCGAATGTAATCAACATCAAGAGATAACTGAATCAGTATATGTCGATCATTAAGTAAGCCAATATTTCAATTGCCAAATAGCTTCATAGCATCAAAATTTTTCCGAATGATATTAAGTTTTGGGTGACCATAGAGGAATATCCCCACTAGAGCAAAACACCAAGAGGAAGCGAGAGTACTGATTTCAACCTCAATGAGAATATAAGTAGACTTCCAATTTTTTTTACTAAGCTTTTTAATGAAAGTGTGATCACCACCACTTTCAAAAGCGTCGTGGAAAGATTGTGGAACATTGCATGACTTGCCAATATTAAAATCAGGCTCTAAACCTGAAAGAGGAGCACGAGTAGGAATAGGAAAGTCGCCAACAACTGCAGTGACATAGGAATGCATCATCGAGGCCATCTGAATAGAGGCTAGGCGAGCTGCAAGGTGAGCAGACCTTCTGCCAGGCAGGGCGACGAAGGTGATGTCGATTTCCGTCGGGCAGGGCGAAGGCGTCGTCGAGTACAGAGACGATGCGAACCGCTATCGAGGAACCGTCGTCGAGTGCGGGTGAGGAGAGACGAAGCGTAGGGGCTGGCTGAACGATGGAACGACGAAACACGAGAAACCCTTCGTCGTCGAAGCAGACGAATCGCAGGGGCTTGCGAAACGACAGAAAGACGAAAAAGATAACGTGAAACCCTCTTCATAGGCACGAGGAAGCCGGTGGAGTGAAGCCGAGAGATTTATATATAGATATTTAGAGAGAGAGAGAGAGAGAGAGAGGGTTGGGGTTTGGAGATTGGGTTGCAGAAGTGTTGAGAGATTGATTAAGCAGGGGTTCGAAGATTGTTATATGGAGATGCAAGATTGCTTGCGGGAGTGTTTGACGAGTATTGAGGTGCTAAGAATGTTTAACAGTTCAGTGGGTGAGATTCAACGAGCTAGAAATGTCAGGTTGGATGTTTTGATTTAGTAGCAATAATTGCTTAGGTTTTGGATTTAACATAAACTGAATCTGGATGTCTTAATCAATTAGGAAATACTTTGGGATACTCTACACAAGCTTAAGCCGGCACGCTGCGAACAATTTGTCAAGATGCATGTGTGTTGAGCAATAATGCATTTGTTAACTAATGGGCGATTCAACTTAACCGAATGAATGCATTGGAAACTATACGTTTAAGAAAATTTACATTTAAATATATGTGGGCTATCTCAGGTACTTCAAGAAGACTTCGCTTGTAAACTTTGACTACATATTGTCGGCGTTTAAAAAGGGGGGGGGAGTTACGTT